CCCTCAATGGTAGCATGGATGAAAGATATGGGCTATACGATAGATATTGACGACTGGACCAAAATATAGAAGTCTATGAGATATCTCAGTTCAGCAGCATATAAAGAAAATTTATATATGATGTTTCATAGGTGGTATTGGTCACCAGATAAAATTGGAAAATTTGCACCTCAAACTTCAAAAAACTGCTGGAAATGTAAGAATAATATAGGAACGTTTTTTCACATGTGGTGGAAATGTTGTAGGATGCAACAGTTTTGGAAAAGTATAAAACAGATTATATTAGAAATGATGAATATTAATGTGGATTTGGTACCAGAAATATACTTGTTAAATATAATTCCAGACAACCTAGATAGAGAAGACAGATATCTATTAACATATATTTTAACTTCATCAACAATTATGGTAGCCCGATGTTGGAAATCAGATAAATTACCCTCTAGACTAGATATAGTTAAGAAACTGCTGGAGATAGCCGAATTGGATAAACTGACTATGTTATTACGTGGTAAAGATGAGACAATATTCCAAAAAAGGTGGATAAGAGTATATAATTGGTGGGGGGAAAACATTGTATTTAAGACAAAAAAAAATTGACAATAATTATATAAAAGTGCTTACTGGCTGTTTAACAAAACTGAATAAATAAAGTATTAAAAAAAGAAAAAAGAAAATACCTTCTGAAAGCTGGGGGATTTCTGGGGAGATTTGTGGGCCTAGTGTAGATAGAGGGGGACGGAGAAATGGCTTCCTTGTGATAGCATCATTACTGACACTTGGAAGCTGGAAAGCTGGGGCTCTCAGCTGGAGCCAGAACCAGACATGGCTGAGGGGTGCATTCTCTTTGATATGGTATATGACTGTCTTAGTGACCTCTGGGTCCATTTACATGAACTCTGGATTAGATACATCACTACTTGAAAAGCATTTTACACTGTTTGATATGATGGTGGGACAAATTCCTGGTCACGCCTAGCTCTACATGAAGCAATGAAGGATTGACATGCAGTGTGCTTCCAGCTTGATTCATGTTCCAGACAGTACCCAGTATGTGTATGCAGTAGGCTTGCCAAACCCCCGCTGGGGATGGGGGAACCCCTGATTTCAATACCCCCTCCCCCGCTTTCTAAAAATTGGGCCCCGGGGGAAAAAAATGGTGGCCGGAAAGTGACGCTCTGGAATTTAAGTCCTCCAAGTCTCTATGGTTCTAAAAACCATAGAGAGAACGGCTAGAGCGCCACTTTCCAGTTCCCCCTGGTCACCAGGACATCTGGTACTTTCATTTTTGTCCTTGTGGCGTGGCCGCCGGCAGTCTCTTACTCTGACTGAGCTCTCCTGTTGCAGCAGTTCCTGAGCCCGTCCCCCCCCCCCACTGTGAGAAGAGAGATGTAAGGGGACCCTTAAGGTTTTGGGTGGCTGGGTGGGGGATGGGCAGGGCCGGATCCAGCCTTGAACACTAGGCAAGACGGGGCAGAGAAACCCAGCTTGGTCCGACTCTGGGCTTCTTGGCTGGCTTTGGAAGGCAGCGGGATGGTGTGTGTGTGTGTGTGGCCCTGTGCCCCCCTGAATTGTTTGGTTATCTTAATACGGTCTCAGGCAGGTTCCTGGAAACACCGCATGATTTTTTCCCCTCTAAATGAACTGCAGTCTTGCTGCATTCGATGCGCGTCCATGTTTAAGGCGCTACATGACTTGGCCACTCCACCATCCCTTTCCCCAGCTGCTTCTCAGGGAGCGCATTTCAGTCCCTTTCCCCATTTATTTCTCACAGGTCTGGGGGGGGGGGAGTGATTGCTCAAGGCTTTAGTGCACGAAGGATACTCCGCTTTATTTATTTCACCAGGGAGGGGGGGTAGCGCAGGAGCACGCACATGTGAGAGGCTAGAAGGAGCCCCATTCTGGTCCCGGTGCAGCTGCCTTCTGGCTGGCTTCCAACCCCCCCCCCCCGGAAAAGTAAAAAAAAGACAGCTTCCCTTGCGCTTTCCTGAAAAAAGCCAAAGCGCATGAGATCCATGCAGCAAAACCCCTCTCCGGAGCAGGTCTGCCAGTGGGTGGGTGGAGAGAGAAGGTGTGTGGATAGAGAGAGTGCAAACTCTCCCACCGGTTTACTGGGGTGGGTGGGGAGTGCTTGCGTGATTGCTCGAGGCTTTAGAGCACAGAGGAGAAGCCGCTTTATTTTTTTCGCCGGGGAGAGGTGGGGGGAGGAGAGCACAAGAACACGCATTTGCAAGAGGCTGGAAGGAGCTCCATTCTGGTTCCGCGCAGCTGCCTTGTCAATAAAAATGATGGAGGCTGTTGGAGCGGAGGTCTCCTGCTCTGGCAGGACATTTGGGCACATCATCACCAGCCCGCGACCAAGTATCAGACGGGGCAAGAATGGCGTGACTTGGGGAGGGGAACCGAGCCAGCCACGGCTCCGAGTCCCCGGAGAGGGAGAGGTTGGGGGGGGCTGAGGATCCCTTTCATTGGTCAGCAGAGAGGCTACTGAATATGTGCAAGGGGGGCCCTGCAAACGATTTATTTTAGTTTTACTCACTGACTTCATGTATTATTATGAATGGTCACTGTCAAAGATTTGATGGGTAGATGGTTGTTTCTTCAAGGTATATTGAGTGCTATTTGTCGCCCCCAAACAAAGTTTGAGTCCAGCGGGCACCTTGAAGACCAACAAAGTAGCTTGAAATGCCCAAGAAAAAGAGATTACCACTTTTGCTTCCGTTTTGCTGGGACGAGGCAACTTTTTTTCACCTATCTTGGGTAGATATGTGACCTGCAAACAAGCAAATTGTGCAGATGCAGATTTTCCCTCTTTGCTATGAGTGAGATGAACAGAACTTCTCCAGCTGAATTGCTATATAACAGCTCTTAAAAATCCAGGAGCCCTAACAGAGAAGAAAAGAACCCTACTTAGAGAAGGGTCAGGTTTTCCCCTTGGGCATGGGATGTGAAATAACTTCTCAGTTGTCCTGAGTCATTTGTTCCTTTATTCAAGGGGCAGACAGTAGCCCCATTTAAACGTTTTTTGCACTCTCCTTGGGGTTGGGGGTGTTTTCTTTGCTGCCAGACAAGTTGCTGTTCACTGTGAGGCTCTGTGGCAAGTGTTTTCTTACTTGAACATCCATTCTGTTATAGAAAAATGAGCTGAGGCAGTGTATGTATTTCATAGCTTCTGCTGTTCTCTGACTGAGGCTCTCCAGTTACTCTAAACCTCCTCATAATTTTTGTGGTAAGCTGTGTCCCCCTTTCTAGGAAGGATCTACCTCTATTCTTTCCCTCCATTCCTTCCTTCTTTCTTTGTTTCTGCGCAGATCTGCGCATCCCCCCCCCATAGCTAGCAATCCAAGAGTCCAGTGGCACCTTTAAGACCAATATTTATTCAGGTACAAGCTCTCCCTTTTCTGTGAGGGCAGATCTGTGATCACACTTCTGGTAAAATGGGGTGTGGCCTAATATGCTAATGAGCTGTGTTGTCAGGTGTATGACCTAATATGCTAATGAGTTTCTGCTGTTGGGTGTGGCCTATTTTTGGCCACTGTGTGACACAAGAGTGTTGGACTGGAGGGGCCATTGGCCTGATCCAACACTGGCTTCTCTTATGCTCTTATGTTTGGGGGAGAGCCTGGAAAGTGACATCACAGGAAGAGGTGGGGTTTGGGTGCAGTGTACTGGAAGTGACATCATCTGAAGGGGAAGTGACATCACTTGCCATTTGACCTGGAAGTGACATCACAGGAAGTGACATCACAGGAAGTGACATCACAAAAGTCTCCTGGCTCCACCCCCAAAGTCCTCAGATATTTCCGAATTTGGATTTGGCAACCCTAGTATGCAGCAACCCCCCCTACCTGGATCTTATTTATTTATTTATCAATCAAATTTATATTCCACTCCCTCTCCCCCCAAAGGGACTCAGACCAATAAAAACAATACAAAGATACGATAAATAATCTTTAAAATATAAAACGGTTAAAAACCTATTCCCATTAAAATTGACCCATTATCAAGCAGGATAGGATGCATGGATGGTGAAGACACAGCTGAAGTATACCAGCTGCCTGGTGGATCAAAATCACCGAAAGGCCACCTGAAAAAGTGCAGCCTTGCATGCCCTGTGGACCCTAGGGCAGTCCCACAAGGCACACACCTCTTTGGGCAGCTGGTTCCACAGGATGGGGGCCACTACAAGACACTACAGTGAGGTGCATTCATGCAAGAATTTCTAACATATGGCACAGTCTTATTTAAGGTCTTGGCAGGAAATTAAGGTCTTATCCAGACTTTTAACTGTACACAAAATATAGTTATTACCAAGTTTGTTGAAAAAAGAAAAGTTCTTAAAAACTAAAAAAAACCACACCCAAAACTAAAGAGTAGGAATAAATGGACAGTTCTTGCAATGGAAGGAAATAAGCGGTGGGGTCCCACAAGGATCAGTATTGGGGCCACTACTATTTAATTTGTTCATAAATGATCTGGAACTAGGGGTGAGTAGTGCAGTGGCCAAATTTGCAGATGACACAAAATTATTTAGGACGGTGAAAATTGAGGCTGACTTTGGAGAGCTCCAAAAATCCTAACTATAAATACACATTGATGGGGTCCGAACTAGCGGAGACTGACCAAGAGAGAGACCTTGGAGTCGTAGTAGGTAACTCACTGAAAATCCCGAGACAGTGTGCGACTGCAATAAAAAAAGCCAACGCTATGTTGGGGATTATTAGGAAGGGAATTGAAAACAAATCAGCCAGTATCATAATGCCCCTGTATAAATCGATGGTGTGACCTCATTTGGAATACTGTGTGCAGTTCTGGTCACCTCACCTCAGAATGAATATTACAGCATTGGAAAAAGTGCAGAAAAGGGCAACTAGAATGATGAAAGGGTTGGAACACTTTGTTTATGAAGAAAAGTTAAAGCGCTTGGGGCTCTTTAGCTTGGAGAAACAACGACTGAGAGGTGACATGATCGAGGTTTATAAGATTATGCATGGGATAGAGCAAGTAGAGAAAGAGGTACTTTTCTCCCTTTCTCACAATACAAGAACTCGTGGGCACTCTATGAAATTGCTGAGCAGACAGGTTAGAATGGATAAAAGGAAGTATTTCTTCACCCAAAGCGTGATTAATACATGGAATTCATTGCCACAGGAGGTGGCGGCGGCTACAAGCATGGATGGCTTCAAGAGGGAATTGGATAAACATATGGAACAGAGGTCCATCAGTGGCTATTAGACACAAGGTATAGATAGGAACTCTCAGTCTGGGGCAAGTGATGCTCTGTATTCTTGGTGCTTGGTGGGGTCAACAGTGGGAGGGCTTCTAGTGTCCTGGCCCCACTGATGGACCTCCTGATGGCACCTGGTATTTTTGGCCACTGTGTGACAGAGTGTTGGACTGGATGGGCCATTGGCCTGATCCAACATTGGCTTCTTTTATGTTCTTAAGAGGATCTCTTCAAATTGGGTGAGTGGTTGTCAGTGTGGCAAAGGAAGTTCAGTGTTGGTAGGTGTAAGGTTATGCACATTGGGACAAAAATCCCAACTTCAAGTATAGACTAATGGGGTCTGAACTTGCTGAGAGGGAAAAAGATCTTGGGGTCATAGTGGATAGCTCAATTAAAGTATCAGCCCAGAGTGCTGCCTCAATGAAAAAGGCAAACTTTATGTTAGCGATTATTAGGAAAGTGATTGAAAATGAAATGGCCAATATTATAATGCTCCTGTATAGATCTATGGTGTGGCCACATGTGGAATACTGTATACATTGCAGAGCTGGAAGTAGTACACAAGAGGGCAACCAAGATGATTAGAGGGTTGGAGCATCTTCCCTATGAGGAAAGGCTGAGGAATCTGGGACTTTTCAGTGTAGAAAAGAGAAAACTAAGGGAGGGACATGATAGAGATTTGTAAAATTGTGCCTGGGATGGAGAGAGTTGACAAAGTGAACTTTTTTCTTTCTCCCAAAATACTAGAACTCAAGGGCATCTAATGAAGCTGATGGACAGTAGATTCAAGATGGACAAAAGGAAATACTTCTTTACACAGCAAATGATTAAAATATGTTCTTAAACTTTCAGTGCAATCATATGCAGTTACTCCAGTCTCAGCCTGTTGAAATCCATGGACTCTTTATGGGTTAACCCAGTATAGGATTGCACTGTTTGTGAAAAAAACAACAACTGTATTTTGTCATTTCAGAAGCTGGCAGCTATACCTCTCTCTTCATTTTGTGGCCCAGAGACTCAACAGAAGTTCGAGAAGTACATCCGGTTTTGCTTCATCAAAGTAAGTTTACAAGCTGTGCTTATAAAATGCTTAGCATACTATAATACAGTTTGTTTCTATAGTTCTTAAACGAAACAGTTTCATATTAAATTCTCATTCTCTCTCAGATAGCGAAACAACATTTTACATTATTACTAAATGCTCAGTAATTGTCACAGTCATCCTGAAAGATAAACCACATTATCCCCATTTTGCAAATTTCGAGTAGGGTTGCCAACAGCCAGTAGAAAAATGTCCTGCCACTTTAATAGAAGCTTAATGTGTGGAAATTGGCAGCTGAAGCTTTTCATGGTGTGGGGGTAAATAACTTCCCTTAGTAAATAACTTCCCTTTAAGCCACTATTAAAGGAACAGAACATGTCCCCCCCCCAACAGAAACTGGCAGTTCTAAATGCAGAAGTGTGAAGATAGTAGCTTGACTAAGAAAGCAACCTTAAGCAGATCTGCTCAAAAGTCTATCAGTGTTATTCAGTAGAGCTCTCTCCCAGGAAAATGTTCTTAGGATTACAGTCTAAGGACCAAAGTAGACATGTAGGTTTGCTGTTGTCTTGTGCCTCCCAGCATAAGTCAAGCAGGAGGGAGAACTGGCAAAATACCGGAATGTTTGCTTCGGATGCAGTCTGCTCTTTGAGAAATTACTGCATAAACGTGATGTCTGTTATAAGACTTGGCAGTACAAATGTAAGGAAAGAGCTGAAATTCACACTTATCTAGATGCTACAGAGATCACCCCATGGACATGAGTATCTACATAGATATATTCAGGGATTTGCTTCCTGTAGTGACATGCCTCAAGAAATCTAATATGTTTGTTCAGTTGGTGGTTCCTAGTATTTGTAATGTCTGTGCGGTGCTTGCAGGGCTAGCTAGCTTTGTCAGGCATGTTTTCTTTCTTCCAAGCAATTTTCCCACTTCCTACTGTCACTCCCTAATCTTTTGTCCCAGTTGGCTTTCCTCTTCTTGCACAGTGCAGCCATTCTGCTTGCCCTGAGCTGCATAGAACTCCTTGGGCAGGTTGAAATAGAATTGCATACTACTGGCTGGTGAACAGCTCAGAACAGTGAGCTGCATTAAAACCTGCATCAGGCCATGGTCACACAGTCCTTTTAATCGGGTTTCATCGCTGTTTCCTCTCGCATTTAAAATTGCTGATCAGACGCCCACATCCATCTCTTGCACCGAAGTGGGCTCACTCGCAGTTCCCTAGCGAGTTTTCCTACATCTGAAAAATCAAGTACTTTCCAGATATTTGCACTTTGAATCTGTGATTTTGCTGATCTGGACAGCCATCTCTCGCAATGATTGTGATTAGGTCATCTGAACGTCCTTCTTGCAATATTCCCCCCAAGCTTCCGTTGTGCGCATGAGCAATCCCACATTGAATAAATTCAATGCATAAATGTTCAAGTGTACATATAGATTCCAGTGCTCAGTTGTAGGTTACCGGTTAATTTTGTTTGCTGTTTGGGGGGGGGGGGGTACCTGCAAAAAAAAGGGAGTACAGCGAGTCCCAGTGGGAGCAGTGATTCGGCCATGTGTATATGTGCATGCGCAAAGCCAATAAAAAAAAAAAAAAAAGCCCAGAGCCTCGTTACACGATGCAAGCAGTTTGGGGAGGGAATGTGTGATCATCCAAACCCGAAGAAAAAATATTCTCGATCAAATCTATAGCGGGAACAAATCGGGATAAGCTTGCTGTGTGACCTCGGCCTCAGAGTTGTTGCTGCTTGCTGCAGGAAGGGTATGGGAGTTAGAGTATGGACGAAATGGAGGCCAGCACAGAACTGCCTGCCTCTCTTTAGGACTAGGCCTTGCTCTGAATACTTCTAGGCAAATTTAAAGAATCAGGGCTCATTTGGGCTGCCTATTCTACAAATGTGTAATCCAGGTAATTCTCACTAAAAGGGCTTTCTGGTCTAATTATAAGGTTGATCAGTTAATTGCCAGTGCAGTGTCAAAGCATAAATTAGCCAGGCATTTTAATTGACAGGAAGAGTTAATATTGTGTGGTGCCTTGAGTGCCTTCAGGCAGGGAGATTACTCATTACTTGTATAAACTAGCAAGATGTTTGTCACATGATAGGATGGCTTCTCTATTGCAAGGACTTCTGAAGGAATGCAGCACATCTATGAGAACCCTGAAAATAGAGACACACTGTGTCCTCTATGAGTGGTCTCAGAGGGTTGCAAAGGTGGGCATTTTTCAGGGCACCAAATCAGCAAAGGGACACTTGTTTGCTTTTGCATGGGACAGCTATGATGGGGTAATACCTCTATGGAAATGCGCAAATACCCAAGTACCTATAAATTAAAATTGGTCTCAAGACTGTCATGAGAAGAGACCAGATGAGACCCTTTCCATGAAATGGCAAATCTCATAGAAACAAGCTTCACACTAATTGTCCCTTTCTAATGCATTTCCAGTTGTGTCTTTCTGAAGATGCATATGTAAGGAACACTCTGTCCTGGTAGTGAATCTGATCCTTCCCCATTTGCTTTCAGCAATTAACAAAATACTTTGAAGGACTAGCTCCAAAGCTAATTTCCCCCAGTGGCTAGTCCCAAATCACTACATTCCAGCTGCAGGCCTGATCAAAAGCTCCAAAAGTCTGACTCCAAAGCATTCAGTTCCAAGGGAAAGAAGTTTGTTCTGTGAGGAGTGTGCATGCATGTTGGGCATGTGGATTCTTAGCATCTTAGTTTTCCAAGTCTTAAAAACAAAACTTCCATCAGTGCAGACCCAGAGTACATGTTAGAATTGTATTAATTTTTTTCTAAATTGTATTTATTGATTATTTAGAATTGAAAATATCGTTTCTAATTTAAGTGTTTTAAACTCATGTAGTTATGGCAGCTCTGGCCAGCACTAATCAGTTAATGTTACTGGCCTGAAAAAGAGTGGATATTGAAAAAAATTCATACATTAAAGAGAGCTAGTTTGGTGTAGTGGTTAGGAGCGTGGACTCTAATCTGGGAGAATTGAGTTTGATTCCTCACTCTTCCGCATGCAGCTGCTGGGTGACCACAGTTCTCTGAACTGTTCTCTTCAAGAGCAGTCCTCTAAAGAGCTCTCTCAGCCACACCTACTGCACAGGGTGTCTGTTGCGGGAAGAGGAAGGGAAGGAGATTGTAAGCCGCTCTGAGACTCCGAGTGAAGGGCAGGGTATAAATCCAATCTCCTCTTCTTCTTAAAGAAAGCTCGAATTATAATCCTGAACCTAGGTTACAAGCCTACAACATCCTAAGCGCAATCTCTCTGAAGGTGAAGCTTCTTTTGAAGTTTAACAGCAAAACAGTTTGTGGTAAATCTTAGAGGAAGTGATCTTAGCCAGAACTTGCTAGATCATGTCTTAAAATGGGGTAATCGGACTTCCCTAGGTAAGCCAGTACATGATACCCAACTAGATTGGAGGCAGCATGAGAGAATTAAGGGGATCTACTCTGCTACAAAATTCCTGTCAGTGATAGCCAGCTGACTCATGGTCAGAGTAGAGGACAGATTTTGCCGTTATTCTCAAGAGCAGTCCCAAATGCAGTGCTCAACTTTTCTGGCAACTATTCATTATGGGAGAGCAAAGAATACACTCAGGAATATCCCTGAATTTGGATCAACTTCCTCCCTGCTGGTGATGACACCAGCGACTGGTTAAAAATCAAAGGGTTCTCCCTGTATAGCCCATCAGCATTTCTGTCTTCATCCCACTAGAATGGCCTTCCACCACCTCTTGGAAGAGGTGAAAAGTTCCTATGGAACTACTGTAGGAGCCTCTTTTGTTTCCAGCAGGCAGTGGCAGGAGTGGAAAAGGTGAGCAACACGACATGGTGTGGAAGTGGCCATATTGAAGCAGATACCATCTTTATCTATTGCCAGCTGTTTCCTCTGGTACCATTTCAGTCTCTGAGACGTACTAGGGAACAATCCTGAACAGGTCTTCTTGCAAGTAAATATCATGTTGTTCCATGGGGCTTGTTCTCAGAAAAGTTTTCTTAGGATTATAGTGATATACTGGTTGTAGACAGGTAGCAGGGATCCACCGCATCCAAGCAGTGTATATACAGTGGTTTTTGCAGTGTTTTCCCATAACTGAATCTTGATTTTATAACAACTCATGATGGTGTTGTGTATTGGTAGGAAGACAGCACATTGGATGCAGCAGAAAAGATCCTGAAGAACTGGAAGAAACGTTAACTCAGAAGTTTTTACAGATGTCTGTACATAATTTTACACTTAACATCAGACTTAAAGTTATGTTTTTCATGAACCTTCTTAAAATTGCACTATGCTGCCATCTGCTGGATATTCAATAAAAATGTTTGCTTTTTATATTCTCCAAATTAAAGTATTTCCCCCCCAAAAAAGATCCATTGGAATAATTATGCTTTATTTTAGATTTTTAACAGGCCTTTTGTAAAATATATGCACACTGCATCCCTTAGAGCCCTGTACAATGAATGCCTTTGCACATGCAATTATGTGTTTTCTATACAGCTGTTGTTTGAACAGCTGCTCTTCTGCATGCCCAGCAGAAGCAGTCTGTGTATGAGTGCTTTGATTGACAGGGTCCTTGCTGTACTAGATTGTGCCAGGAAAGCCCATGGCCTACTGGTAAGGAGAAGGCAGCTGCACAGCACTCAGGGGCTGGGTCAGGGCAATCTTGCCCCAGTGTACGTTTTCAAAAGTTTTTACTACCATAGTCAGTTTTCGTCTACTTTTACTCCACAGTTAGTTTGAATCTGAACTCCAGCTGCCGAGAAACAATAAGAGAAATTGATTTCACAGGATTCTTTTTATTAGATTGTCTTCTATTGAGATTGGAGAGTCTGGTAGGTTGAAAATAAACTTGATATAATTTGAAACTAATCAGCTGACATTGTCTACTTTTTAAAACTTTGTAAAATGATTGTAGGGAAGTGCACAACTCCAGAAAAGGCTACATGCCAAAAAAAGTTTTTAAAAAACTCGTTTATCATGTTTGAACATTGTTTTTGGAGAGGTGGGCTCAGAGCATCCCACAGAGTAGTTTTGCATCAGAGAAATGCATTCTGAACAAATTTATACAACTCTTTTATTAAAACATAAATGGCAGGATATATTTGAGCAGTAGACTACATTTAATGGAGTTGCATGACTTATCACTCCGGTATATTCATTTACATAACCATATTGCAATTGCAGTGACAATCGGGCTGAGAGAAATGTCTTCTGTTGCCAGGTATGGATACAAAATGCGGCCTTCTAATTGGTTGAGTAAAATGATAGTGCTATCTCAAAGGAAAGACATGTTAATGAATTAGAACACCAAATGTAGTTTTAATACAGTAATCAACAAAAGAGTGTAATTGGAATGAATGAGAAATTAAATATATTCACACTGACAAAATCACTAGAGTTGTCATATCATGCAGTCTTGTTTTATGGAAAATGACTATGAAAGAGAAATCAGATAGTGCTTTAAATTATGGGCTAACATGCCACTTTCCCCTAGGAAGTAAATAAGGTTATTTGTAGTATCATCCTTCGTTGCATCTTTTGAAGTCCATTGAAGTCAATGGATTTTGAAAGCTGTAACTTTACTTAGGCTTCTGCTTTTACTTGCTTTTGCAGCTAAGCAAGTAGGATATAAACTGGACCACTTGATATGATTTTTCCCTCTCACATCTTATCACTGGATTTTAGAATAATGATAATTGAGAATCTACTCTATATTGTCACTTGTCTGCAAACCTGTTTGACAAATCACTAAAAATGAAGTTGCCAAAAATCTTAAGATTGCTTGTACTTGTTAATGATATAAACATACAAAATATTGTGTTCATTTAACATAACACAAACGCTTCTGCTATCTTACCATCTTGCCAGACGTCAGAGGCAGGGCTTTTTTTGTAGAAAAAGCCCAGCAGGAACTTATTAGCATAATAGGCCACACCCAACAACAGAAATGTCTTAGCATATCAGGCTGCACCCCTCACAGTGCAGTTCATTAGCATATCAGGCCACACCCCCACGTTACCAGAAGTGTGGTCATCCAGCCACACCCACTTTTTGCTTCTTATTCTGTTTACCTTGTTTGTTGTCAAAACTAATAAAAACATTGTTTTAAAAGTTTCCCATTCCATACTTTTAATAATTAATATTATAATTATTTTTAAAGTAACATTAACAGTAACATAAACAAACATCTTAATAAACACTCTGGAACTTAGAAACTATACTGAAACGTTGAGATAAGTCTTTACATCTAAATTGAATTATCTGTTCAGGACAATCCCTCCAAAAGCTTTGAAAATGGTGACAGGTCACCAGTTGCTTCTGTTCTTTCTCGGGCCTTGCTTTGAGTCGATAAGGCAGAACAATGACCTTGAAGCAACCACTTTCTAACATAATACGTTGGGTTGAAGCCTGTTAATGGATATATAATGGATCTTATAAATAATAGATTCTGCAGTGCTTTGATCGACAAGGAGGACCTTTCTGGGGTGGCAATCAGGTACATCTGTGAAAACCCCCTTTCACACTCACTGGAGGAAATTGCTATTGTATTGAGAGAGTGCTGAATCTGAGTCAGTTCCTTGGGCATTCTCTCATTTCAGATGGTCTCTGAAGGCTCTTTCACTGAGCTGAAATCTTCCTGCCAATGTGCATATTTCTTCTCCAAAGAGAGGGTTGTCACTAAAGTTTGTTGGCCAAGTCTTGGATTGCAGGGCTCTTGCACATTTTGACAGCTTTACATCTTTTGAAAGCAGCCTTTTCTGAAGAGAGATTTTAAGTCGATCGTAGAAGGCAACCAGGGAGATTGGTGGGTCATCAGCTCTATTTTTTCTGTGCAATGGGACACCCTTAAATTGCATACTTTCTGCCGCTTCAAGTGCTGTCTTGTAATAAGTACCTGGAACAAGTGCTTCTCATCCTGCAAACATCAAGAAGACACTCAATCTTGCAGTGGGCCTTGTACATATCAATAGCTCTCTCCTGCAAATCTAAACTCAGTTCTGACAGCATCACAGAATAATCCAAGATCCAAAATAAATTCAACCGATGTAATCTTTCTGTGAAGACTTTCTGTCACGGCTCAGGTGGGGTGTCACCTGATGCTGCCACCACTCTGGATTTAGGTTCCCTTGAGAAGACCCAGAGTACCCTCCCAAGACCTTCAGACCTCCCTTCTGGCCGAATAATAGGCATGAGGACCAGGCAGAGTGAAACAAGAAAAAGGTTTATTTTATAGGAAGTCAAACAACAAGGTGCATAATAATAACAGTAAGTGGGTGAAAAGAAATCAAATGCCCTAACGCGTCTAAATATACTTTCCCTAGCTCACTATCTCAAGTCGCCTTACACTACTCACCCCTCCCTCAGGATAAGGGTTTTTCCCCTGCAGCAGCCTTTTTTCTGGCTCTGCCCTCTGGAAGAAAGAACAGCTCTTCCTGCTGCTCTAGAACTTTTATTCCCAGCCCTCCTCTCTTCCTATTGGACAATTTTGGCTCCAAAACCTCCCAGGGGCTTCTGGGAGTTGTAGGCCCAGCCTCACCTACTGCTAACCAGGCTCCTTGGGCCTAGTAGGCCTCTGGTGGCACAGCTAGGGTTGCCATATGGGCCCGGGGGGCAGGGAATCCCCTGCTTCAGAGCCCCGATTTCTGCCCTGGTGGAATCGGGCCCCGGGGGAACCCCGCCCCCAAAGCTGCGTCACCAGAGGTGACGCAGCCACGTTGCTGAAGTTGGGGGCGTGGCTGAGCTTGTCGGGAGGAAAACCATATGGTTCCACCCCCGACGAGCTCGGCCACGCCCCCAACGTCAGCAACGTCAGACGTCACTTCCGGTGATGTCCTGCGCATGCGCCCAACCAGACTCCCGGACACCAACAAAGATCCCCCGCTCCGAGGGGTAAGTGTATTTGGCAACCCTAGGCACAGCCCATATGTGCCTCTCCCTCCTTGTGATCTGCCTTTTTCAAAATGAAGCACTAAGGCTTCATAATTCTGCCAGATAGCCAAAACAGTCCTGTAGCTGGATGCAACCCATCTGGTGGAAAGAATCCTTTCTATTTTTAAAATCTCCATCTCCAGTGCCGCTGCACATGAGTTGGAGATGCATGATACATGACATACAATTTGTCCAAAAATTTCCTAAATCTATTGATGCCAGAAACCTCTTTCACAATATCATGTACTGATAACTTCAGCCGATGGCTGGCACAATGCCATAAAACAATAGCAGGGAATCTATCTTTTAAAAGTCTCAAAACACTGCCACAGGATCCCAGCACCACCATCACATGTCAATTAAACTAAATTTTCCTTAAGGAAATCTTCACTGAACCCTAGTGACTCAAGCTGAGATGTCAAAGTGCTGACTATTCCATCTGCTGTCACGTCTTCCAGCTCTACCAAGGCAATGAAGAGATTTGCAGGGGCCAGCATGCCTATTTCCTCAACGTAGGTGCGAATGTACACTATCAGCACAGATTTCTGACACACAGTAGTGAATTCATCGATTATCAGTGAGATTTTACTCTTTGAGTCAATCATCTTTCTGATTACCATAAGTCTTATTTCACTGCCAATGTGATTTAAAATATTTGTACATGCATTAGATGAATGCAAAATTCTCCCCATGTCAACACTGTTTAATTCTTGTAAATCAATTTTGCATTCAAAATCATTAAAAAGACTGGTTCCTTTTTACCAGCTTATATGCAGTACGGAATATTTTAGCAGTAATTTCCTTCACTCTTTTTTTTTTTTCTCTTTCCAGAGTCAGTGAACTCAAACCTCTATTTCCAGGAGTTGAAAATCCAGCTAGATCAGTTGAATCCCCTGATGCTGAGGAACAGGCCTCTTCATCAGTCTCCCTACGCTTAGCTTTAGGGCCTTGAAAGAAATCAGAGGTCCTCCTCATCTTGTATCACCAATATTCTGTGAAGTGAGAGAGAGAGAATAGGTATCACTTCTGTGTCCCACCCAGTTTGAAACTGCACATTGCAGTATGCGTTATCTGCTTCCCTAAACACTTGTTGTCAAGTCCCTTAAACTTTCTTTTAAGGAGCGTAAGAACTTAAGAAGAGCTCTGCTGGATCAGACCAGCAAGGGTCCATCTAGTCCAGCTAGTGTTGCCAAGTCCTTATGAAGAGTGGGGGAGTCCAGTGCTGGTCCGGGAGTCCATGTGCACGCGCCGCAATTACATCACCCGGAAGTGATGCAATCACGTTGGGGGCGGGGCCAACAGTACAAAACATACTTAAGTTATTGACTAAAGTGCTCAAGGTGTTCAACATGAAATTTCAAATATGGCATATTTCAACTGTTCAGCATTGTCTGCTCCAGGGAAGCACTGATGTTCCCTCATCCAGGGCCAGGTGAAGATGGAATAATGGTGATGGTAGTGGCGGCTCCTACTCATACGCCTGGTGGAAGAGCTCCGACTTACAGGCCCTGCGGAACTGCACAAGGTCCCGCAGGGCCCGGATCTCCTCCGGGAGCTCGTTCCACCAGATAGGAGCCACCACCGAGAAAGCCCTGGCCCTGGTAGCGGCCAGCCTGGCCTCTTTGGGGCCTGGCATTGCCAGGAGATGTTGAGTCCCGGACCGAAGTGCTCGTGGAGGAACATATGAGGAAAGGCGGTCCCTTAGGTAAGCTGGACCCAGACCATGTAGGGCTTTAAAGGTAAGAACCAGCACTTTGAAACGAATCCGGTACACTATTGGCAGCCAGTGCAGCGCTTTCAGCACAGGTTGGATGTGGTCCCTTCTA